CCTTTCGATTGCCAGTAGAAGAAAATGGGTTTTTGACGTGCCGGTTAAGTTTGGCTACAGTCGAGCGAAGCAAAGCTTTGATTTGTTTGGGTCGTGTTTGGGTTTTGTTAGTTTTGACTTTTGAGAATGCAAGATAAGGAGAAAATGAGTTCTTGACGTGCCGGTTAAGTTTGGCTGCATCAAACGAAGCAAAGCTTCGATTTTTCTGGGTCGTGTTTGGGCTTTGTTAGTTTCAAGAATGCAAGATAAGGCCCCGTCTCGGTTTTCACTCCAGTGGGCACTTTCCGTTGGTGGTTTGGAAACTCATCCCATTTAAAGTTGGTCCAGTTGAGTTAGATGATTCTTGAGTTTTATATTCACCACAAAGCTGGAAAGAAAGTGAGATGTGAAAGGATATGTGCTTTGCTTGAGCTGTAGAAATGAAGCTATAGAGACTATGAATGAGACGGAAAACAGAGTGGAATGCCGTTCTACAAAAATTCTATGGAGCCATCGAATGATTTTTGTCATCCACCATTAACGATACTTAATAATTCAAATTTATTACTCCAAGTGCATCTTGTTTTGGTTATATCTAATTATGAATTTATAACTCATTTATGATGAATTTTTTTTTTTTTTTTTTTTTTTTTTGTAGGAATTTTTGTATTAAAAATGTTATTTACTTGAAAGAACCGATTTTATTTACAAGACGCATGAATCTATAGTATCAAGAAAGTTACATTGCGCATTATTATCGTGAAATTTCATAGCCTTATATATAGAAAATAACACATGCTCATCATTAACACGCAAAGTAAGTTCTCCCTTTTTGACGTCTATCAAGGCATCTCCCGTCGCTAGAAACGGTCTTCCTAGAATCAATGGCACCTCGTTATCTTCCTTCATGTCCAACACCACAAAATCCACTGGAAATATGAACTTATCAATCTTGACAAGTACATCCTCAACGATCCCCTTGGGATATGTTATCGAACGATCCGCTAATTGCAAGGTTACCGTAGATGGCTTCACTTCTCCCAATCCTAACTTCCTGAAAATCGACAGAGGCATAAGATTAATACTTGCACCAAGATCACATAAAGCTTTGCTAAAGAAAATGTTCCCGATTGTGCAAGGCACAGTAAAGCTTCCGGGGTCCTTCAGCTTCTGAGGTATCTTGCGTTGGAGGATCGCACTACACTTCTCGGTTAAGTTCAACATCTCATGATCCTCAACTCGCCTCTTCTTGGACATCACATCCTTCAAGAATTTCGCATAATTTGGCATTTGTTCCAAGGCTT